AACAAAAAGGAAATAGACAAATATTTGTTTTGATTTCGTTTCTGTTGATTTGGTATTTCGTTGGCGCAATTTAATGTGTAATTTATGCAAATATTTGAAGCCTCTTTGGTTAAGCCCTTTGTTTAAGATTGTTACTAAACTGTTGTAAGGCAGTAACTTAATTCAATATGCATACATATGTATGTATATACATATATGCATGCCTATAAATTGATAAAGGTATTTAAAAAAAAATAACTAGATTTTTAATAGATTGCAAGCTGTTATTTCGTATTTAAATACAAAATGAAATGGATTATTAAAAAAATTTGTATCGATTCAAGTCAGTATGCACTCAAACATACATACATATGTTATTTCGGAGCGGAAAATAATTTGAAGTCATTAATAATCCATTCAATTTGCATTTTTACATACAGTAGGCCGGTTTTGCATTGAAATGTTGTTAATAATTTAGTGAAAACTGCTTGAATACAAAGTATACTAATTTGTAACTTAAGTGGAATGCACCCGGATTTTGATCTCACCAAGGACAGCCAACTTGTAGCGGCAGAATTCTGCTAAGTTTATAAAAATCTAAATAAAAAATCTGGCTATTGCGGGAACAGCAGCCATTCCAATCATTGCAGCATACTTACCGCCGAACAGAGGAATCGTAACTTCATTGAAATACTACCAAGTGATAACAACTTTTAATTTTAATAGCCAGGCAGAAACTCTTGCCACATAAAGAGATGACTTTCTACACACGTACATAGTTCAAACTTTTTCATTGTTCATTCTTTAATTTGCTGTCCTTAAGTGATATTATGACATTTCATTAGAGGTGTGTTTCATTAAAAAGCCATTAATTATATTTGGTCATTAAATTAAAAATTAAGTTTTTTTTTATTTTGAAAAAAGATACATTGTAATATACATGTCGTTATTTTTGTTTCTTCATATCTACTTTTCTTGCAAACTGTTGATATTTAGATAGCAGTAATAATTACGTTCTTAATACAATAAATCTGCTTTACTTAAAAAATTTGTTTAAAGTTAAATACATATATATAACTTAAAATCGCAGAACGGTTAATAGGGTCTGGGCCGATTGCCTCCGTCATTTCTAACCGGACCACCGCCTCCATCGCGGCGACCACCACCACCACCCATTCCGCGGCCACCGCCGCCTCCACCTCGGCCGCCACCACCACCTCCGAAGCGGTTGAAACCACCACCRCCGCCGCCACCACCTCCGCCATTACCGCGATCTCGGTTGCCATAACCACCACCGCCACCACCACGATCGTTGTTGCCATAACCGCCACCACCACTACCGCGGTCACCGCCGTAACCACCACCACCGCTGCCGCCGCCATAGCCACCTCCGCCATAGCCGCCACCACCACTGCCGCCTTCATTGTCACCATCACTTTTAGGTTCTTTACACCTGCAAATAGAATTTCTTTTATGGTTAATACGCTCATTCTAACAATAGCAATTTGGTACATACCTATTGCACTCGTTGCGCCAAGCAAAGTTGGTATTATTACAACTGCTACATTTCCAGTCACCTTCGCGTTGTGGCACGTTACCACCACCACCTCCGCCTCCGCCGCCACCTCCCATTCTACCACGGCCACCACGATCTCCACCACCACCGCGACCTGAATCATAATCACCACCCGGTCCGCCGCCGCCGCGATCAAATCTACCACCTCCACCACGTCCACCGCCACCACCGGGACCGCCACGGCCACCGAAACCACCACCGCCGCCGCCGCCGCCACCACCACTACCGCCTCCGCGACCTTTCCAGTTATTTTGACGTTGTGCTAACGAAACTTTAATCGTACAGCCATTGAAATCTCTGCCATCAAACCAAGCGATGGCTGATTGTGCGGCATTTGTATCATCATAGGTTACAGTGGCTTCACCTTTTGACACGCCGGTTTCTTTGTGTTTGTATAACCAAATTTTAGGCTTCATAGTACGTTTATCTTTCTGCAAGTGCATAAATACATATACATATATTTAAAAACTTTAAAAGTTGCGTAATGGCTTATGGAAGCGTTATGCGAACCTACCTTAATTATGCCTATTGCGCCGAAATGCGTTTCAATCGCCATTTCATCGGTCGCAGGATCCATGCCAGAGACAAAGATGGTGTCTTCTTGAGTAACCATTTCGCCGGCACCACCGCCGCCGCCGGCTCCGCCTCCACCATATCCGCCTAAAATAACATAAGTAATATTAGCATCATTTCGTCTTAATAAACATATTTAAACTATGAGGTATGGCTTGGGCACTATATTGGTTTTAAGAAACTACTTTAAAACGCTAATTCGAAGTACGATAATATGAATATGAATAGATAATAATAACAAGTGTATGACCTTCTAATAGAACACATTTGAAACATAGACGAAGAGTAGTGTAGTCAGTTATATTTTCAAATACACCTTTGATAAATTTTATCAGGAGCAATAATGAAGATACTGAAGAATTTAACCATGGTTTTTTTTATAACACCAATACCAAATACATTTGCAAATGTATTTATGTACTCCAATAATAATAACACCTGTTTTATTTCTTTAAACAAAAAATTAGCAACTTTTGCGAGTTACACACACAAGATACATATTTTGTTAACAGCATATATGCTGTTTATGAAACCAAATTTATAAACCTTTTCGTTTCTTAAAAGTTATGCTTTAACAAATATTTACAGCAATTTCACGTTTATTTTCACTACTTTGAAAACCTTCTACAGTTTCAAACAACCCAAAGCAGATATCACCTTAATGTTTTTGTATACCAAGATCAAATTTTTATTGATCAACTGTATCACCGTATGCGGCATTATACTTATATGTACCATCCACTTGATGCACTCACATGTTGTTTTGACACAAAGTCAGAATACTCTGATTTAAAAAAACGAATGCATTGCAGTATTATTACTCCAACACTGCATACTTCGCAGTCTACCTCAAATGATGTTTCATATATATGTATATACTGTCTAATAGTTGGCACTCTCAATCAAATACACTATGAAAACACTAGTCATACAATAATTTATACGTAAATCGCAGAGTTAAGAATTGTAAGTAGTAAATGAATTGATTTATACTTTACTCAATTATTTGCAATTTGGCTTGCTTTTATTTTACCTTTATTGTAGCCGTCCTTGCTGCCGCCTCCATTTCTAAAATAGGATATCAAGACTCATTTAAATGTGCATTCGTGATTTGCAGTTGAGAATTTTTAAAAATCATGTTAGATCGCATACACAAGCAAGTACCATTTTCAAGCTGTCTGTAAATGTTTTTTCCTCAATAACCAACCATTAAATTCCCATATGCGTAATTAATCGTTGTTGATCCACGAGATTGCGATGATTTGAACATTACAAAGTTTAAATATTTCGAAATAAACCTTACCCAACTAAGCAATTATACACCAGGCTCTTAGGTACATATTTCATATTGTGTACTATTCATATTACGCCAACAAAATGAACCACTTAAAACGATTTAGTAACCAGATCTTGTTAATTTTCATGGAGTTATTTCTGTTGAAATTTTCACAATGTCGTCGACAGTATTACACCTTTATGCCTTTAAATTACTTTTAAAAAAGTTTCATAAACAATGCAGCAATAAAAACAAGTTTAAAAAAATGACAATGTTGGAATTAATTGCTTCTCCACCAAATAAACAGTATCATAGAAACTCACCAAAATATTACGTGTAAAAATACCTCGCTTAAATTAGATAAATTGAAATACTTGCGGTATCAACATGGATCAAATAAATATAAAAAAAAAAAAAAAAAAATAGGAACTAACAGATTTCAACACTTGTACCTTCGTGGAAAAAAATTGTACCACAAATTATACAAAATACCTCTTAAAATCACGTTTTAAATGAAGATTCAGGTAAACATGAAGTTCAATATTTTGCAGATACAGTAGAGAAGCAAGAATCCCAAATTTTTCAACTTATACAAATTTTGATTTTCAATTATACATACATACTTTCTAAAACAGCATAGATACCCTAAACACTTTGGATTTGATAGCTTTGTCAACAGAATTTTGTTTTTTAGGATTTGAACACGCTCTTTGCGTTATTAGCTTGAGGTAAGCTAATGAATGGGCCTTAGCTTGTGAAGTTGTTTCGTACGAAAATGTAAAGGATAATAGATACATACCCATAACCGCCGCCTCCGCCGCTTCCACGGTCTTGCCAACCTCCGCCGCCTCCACCACCTCCGCCACGACTACCTGAATCATAACCTACAAATAAACAGTAGTTACAGAAATACTTATAATGCAAACTTCATTTTATATATACCTCCTTTGTTGTACGAAGATTGATCGTTGTAGCCGCCACTTTTTGGTTGCATCTGCTGCTGGAAATTCGGTGGTGGTACAGAAAAATTATTGTAACCTCCTCCGCCACTAGCACCGCCATAACCTCCTCCTATGTTATAATTAGTATAAACAATGAAAATCTATCCAAAATATTACTTTAAATGTATACTCACTATCCATGTTTGTTTTTAAGAATCTATTGACACAGTTTAACGCTAAAATTTGACTGAATTTCACTATTTAAAACAGCATAAGTTAAAGCCACGCCACTGAGAAAAATTTTTCTGCATTGATTGAAAAATGGCGTTTTGCAGCACGCAGAGTTGTATTTTCAGCAAATATGGCTGTCAATACCTGAGCTGCCGTATCTTTGTAAAAAATTGTATTTCAATAAAATTATAATAATACATACATCAATATTAGGTTAGGTTTGTTAGAATTATATTAATAGTACAAATTGTAGTTCTATTAAAATTGTTTTACAACATTTTTATATCACTTTAAACCGAATTATTTTGAATTCATGACATTGTTTACTTTATATTTGACTTAAAATTTGTTTAGTTTCTTAACACTTTTAACAATGCTTGATTTTCAAAACGAAATGTCATGCAAAGCAAAAATCAGCTGTTCGAACAACCAAAAAGAAAAATCGGTTTACGTGGAAGAGATCAAATAATTCTAGTAAATAATAACTCAATAAACTAATTATTACTACTTTAGATTGTTAAAAAGAATTTATATAAAAATTTTGCACAGAAAGAATCATGATTGAAGTAACAGATTTACAAAGTAAGTCTATAATGCCATAAACCGATCCGTGTTAATCGTTTTTGGCTTCAGTCCTTCGTGTTTTTGTTAATATTGTAATGTTACAATTGTTGGCTAAATATGAATGTTTTTTTTATAGAAATCGGCATTGGCCTGGCTGGTTTTGGTGTCTCCTTTCTATTTTTGGGTGTGCTATTTCTTTTTGATAAAGGATTATTAGCAATCGGCAATGTAATATAACTATAAAAGATGTATCGTAATATGTATTAACAATTAACTTTTAGTTACTTTTCCTAAGCGGTCTTGCTTGCGTAATTGGCGTCCAGCGTACATTCCGGTTTTTCTTTCAAAGGCATAAAGTTAAAGGAACTACAGCCTTTTTTGGCGGAATTTTTGTAGTACTACTTGGTTTTCCTATGATTGGTATGGTTATTGAACTGTATGGATTCTTTGTATTATTCAGGTAAATAATATTCTTCAAACTTTATTAAAATTTACAAGACAAAATTTATATTTATTACAGCGGATTCTTCCCAGTGGCAATCAATTTCTTGGGACGAGTGCCTGTGTTAGGTTCTGTTCTGAATGCTCCATTTATCCAAAAGGTAAGTTAATTTTTATTCAAGAAATAGAAATTCTTGAAAAGTTTCTGTTTGCTCTTTCTCTGCCTCTCTGTACTATGGCTGTTCTTTCTCATAAACATATTTAAGATTTAGGATTTCAATTGTTTAATTAACTTATTCTCGTTATTTCACACATGTCTAATTAAATCGAATTTTGTATATTAAGATTAAATCACGCGTTTAGTGGTCCTTATTCCACTCTTCGCGTTCTTCACGCTCCTTAATAACTTCCTTCAAATAAGGTTCCAAGTATTTGACATCCTCTTCATATTTAGTCCATTGTTCTTTTGGTAAAACTGTTTTTGTCATGGACAACTGCAGAGCGCGCATGATACGGTAGTTGCGTTCATCGTACAATTTACGGGGGAGACGACGTACAGCTTCTTTCACGTCTTCATTCTCATACAGGCAATCATCACGGTGCAGACCTACGGGTATGTTATTGTGTGAATTGAAGGTTAAGTTATTGAGCAACAATAATTACAAAAATTATTAGCAATAACTCACCATATTGATTGAAACCAGACAAGTTATAGGCCCATTTGCCCAAATTTGCTAAAAATAGAGGATACACGGTTATTTATTTGGAAAATGGTAATACATTTATATTTACGTAACCAAATGGGGGAAAAACATTCCTGATATATTTTTTAGTGTTCAAACATTGAATTCTTAAGTCGTACAATAATTGGTTGTATATGACATACAAATGTACTTACAAAAGACTAAGGGACCTTTCCTGGCAATATATCCCGACATTTCGCACGAATTTAGAGATTTGTACAAAAATCTTCCACAGTCGATCTGATAGAAATATGAAGTAAAATAGAATTTCCTGGTGCACTATCGCTGTTTCATTCGCTCAATCGCAAACACAAGGTGTGACAGTTGACAGATGTAAAAGCTAACATATAAGTAATAGATTTTGCAGGGTCGTAATTTTACTGTAAATATAATGAAAACGTTTAGCAATTTGATTTTTTTCTTATATATATTGCAGCTTGTACAAAAACTTGGTGGTGATGGTAATCGAACGACGGTATAGTAGAACTCCAAACAGATTTTCAACTAAGGATAATTTTAATATACTAGTTTATTTCTCGGATGGCTTAAATGTAAAGAGCTGGCTATTTTGTATAAAAATACCTGTAAGTTTAACTATACGTTAGAGCAATGATTGATGCGTGTTTTTAGTTAATAAGTTTTCTTGAAAATCTATGATTTTTAAGAAGTTATTACTTTAATACAACTTATAATACGGGTCCTTATTCCTTATTTTGTATACATTGTATATACCTAAATTTCCAATAGAATACGCATTATTTGCATAAAATGTAAATTGATTTGTATTAAAAGATCATTAATTTTTGAACAATATAAACTTTTTGGTTTAAAACATAACATGATTTAATATCAATATTATCTCATATGCGAGTTTACTAATAGTGTTAAAATGTTCCTTTAAGCATGCGCGTAAATGCATTTTTTATTGACATCTTCTCATCCGATTCAAATTCTTGCAGGATTCCACTTTCACATGAAAATAACCGACTTAATGACGATTTTTGTATGCTCAATTTGAAAACGGACATACTAATTTGCATATACTGTGGCTGCAACAATGGTGACGGCGAATGCGGCATATGAGCGATGTGTATACTTTCTAAAAAAAAACATCAATAAAAGAAATTAGTAACAAATTATAGTTGTTAAAAGTTGCATGTTTCCATACCCATATCACAAAATTTACCAATACTCCATTTTAGTAGACTCAGCAAAGGAAATTCTAAAATTTTACGCCGCAATACTTCGACAACTAAATTCACCATGTAGATACAAAGTCGCAACTACAAGAAAATAATTAATAATTTGTAAAATAAAACAGTTATAAACTTGTCTTACCGTTGTGAAAACCACGTAATAAACCAATACCGTTGGAAACAAAAAGAGTAGCGATGTAAAGAATATAGTCGCCAGATACAACTGACGGTTAACATAATTATGTGACTCCACGCGATCTGCAAGTCATGTTTATTTAGTTTAATTAGATGTGTAAAATGTTAAACTAGATTTACTTTTAAGCACATTGTAACGTTTGCCCAGCATTACCTTCCAAAGTACTTGAATACCTCTAATCTCCACTTTGTACAATCTAATTAGACATTAAAAAAATTCTTGTCATTGAAATTTCCATATACAATGTACAACTTACACTGCTGTGTAAATATAAAAGCAATGCGCATGCAAGCCGATTATGGACATCAACATTGGCAAAGATGCTAATTGAAAGGATATTCCTATGAAACCAAGCATGGCAATTGGCACGAAGAGTTGACGCACAATGGGTTCGATAAGATCTGGGTGGGGAGGCGTACAATTATAATGTTTAATTAATTTATAGAATGTATGTAWGTAATTACCTAAAAACTTTGCCCACAAATCTATGTGATAATTAAAACAATCGAGCAGAAAATTGTTAAGATGTTCATTTAGCTTCAGACCAATTGGGCTGCCTTTAAGTGAACGCAGCAGCAAGCGCAGCTTTTGTATGACCCACTAAAACACATTATTTTTAACTAAAAATTCATAGAAATGTATAAACATTATGCGTGCTACTACTCACGTGCGATGTTGCTAGCAGGTAATCGCCGGGTTGGGAAACGTAAAAGAGTAAGAAAATCATTACACTAACACCAAGAATTTTATCCACTGTTATGTTCAGTTTCCGTTTTCTAAAGTTCAAATATATTTTAGATATTGTTTAATAAAAATTCAATTTCAACGAACTTACCCAGTTTCGTCCAATCTACGCCACTCCAAAAAGTGTAAGTAAATTGATGTTTTTTGCATAAGCGTTTTAACTGGCTTACACTCTAACAATATAATTAATAAGTATGTTATTAAGTTAGGCAGTAAAAATGGTAACTTTTGTAGAATACTGAATATCGTCACTTTATGCACTTTATTTTGCTTGTGATTTTCATTTAAAAGACGGCACAGCAATACAAGATCACTACGTTGCTCAGTCTCCTCCTCGCCATTTCCCTCGGCAGTTATTGTGTGGCTTTGAGTCGTCTCATAATTGACGCTATATTCGTACAACTGCAACATTTTTGGCACATCATATAGGAAGACATTCACTTGTGTAGTATTAGACGGCTTTATGCTCAACTTAAGCAAATAAATGTTTGGCGTGTCAGCATCGTAAGCAAAGGTCACCGCAACATCTAAATGTTCTGAGGCTGATGTTGGTCCGGCACGTATTATGTGTCCCAGGTGTCGCAAATTGCTTTGACTCTCAGTTTGATAATCTTGATGTGCAATAATATAATAGGAGATTGCATTATTTTCATTGATTTGTATTTCTCCATATATATCAAAGTCTTTTTTTGTGTGAAATAGAAAAGCGGGCAGGAAAATTTTTACGCTCATAGTTCATCACAATTGGAGGATTGTAAACAAAATAAAGACTACAGCTGTTTGCTTGGCGTTGCCATAATTGTGGTTTTAGTTTTAATGTTGTATTAGGGCAGTTTTACATTTCTGCAATTTTAAAGTTTAACAATTATAACATAAGGAAGCTTCCTGGCGTTTGGGTTTCGTATTTATTTAAATAAAATATTAAATATGTTTTTAAAAAAATATTATTATATTCTATTTATTTAAATATTAAATATTTATAGGGGTATTCAGACCAGCTTCGTTATTTCGTTAGTCGTTACTTGGTAGTTTTTTATGTGTGTTTTGTTTTTGTAAAATTAACAGATTATCGTTTTACCGAGTAACGAAGTGCCAGACGGGCCATGATCGTTTTTTCGTTACTTGGTTCATCAGTTTAAATTTTATATTGCATTACTTAGGAAAGAAACAAGCAAGAATTCTTGCATAATACGAACGTAAGCAAATCATTATTCAAGCCCACTAGTAGGAGTGATGGCAACCAGATTGTACAATATTTGACGTCTGGTAATATGTTTGTCTCTCTCTCTTCGCTTTTGACATTTGCGCGTAGCGTCTGTCAGAAAAATCTTCGCCAACGAATTCGGCCTGTGCACACTTCCATAGAAAAATTACAGTTTTGCTTAAAAATATCAACTATTAACTAAATATTTTGGATATATCCATCATTAATATTATTGCGTAATTACTTGTAGTCATAAAATGGGTTCAGAAGGTGAGTAACTGTGGAGATTTCTAGCAACGCATAACGTGTATACTATAAGCTATATGTATAAATGTATGTGTGTGTTTTTTTTTTTTTTTTGCAGACCGTGATAGGCGCCGCCATAGATCGCGTTCAAGAGACCGCGAACGAGAACGCGAATATCGTCGTTCACGTTCTCGCGATCGTAAGCGGGAGGGTGGTGCTGGTGGCCGTGATCGGCACACACGTTCGCGTCGCAGAAAACCATCATTATATTGGGATGTACCACCACCAGGTTTTGAACACATTACACCCATGCAATACAAAGCAATGCAGGCAGCCGGTCAAATACCGGCAAATGCTGTACCCGAAATACCACAAGCGGCCGTGCCAGTTGTGGGTTCAACCATAACGCGTCAGGCACGTCGCCTCTATGTAGGCAATATACCATTCGGTGTTACCGAAGACGAAATGATGGAATTCTTCAATCAACAAATGCACTTGACGGGTCTGGCACAAGCGGCTGGCAGTCCAGTTTTAGCATGTCAGATAAATTTGGATAAGAATTTCGCTTTCTTGGAATTCCGTTCGACCGATGAGACCACACAGGCAATGGCATTTGATGGCATCAATTTTAAGGGTCAAAGTTTGAAGATACGACGCCCGCATGATTATCAGCCCATGCCCGGAGTAGCTGATGCGCCGCCAATAACGGCGCCAGTGGGTAAGTTGCACATTATTGTAAAAGGGAAAATTAAAAAATAGCTGAACTTTCTAAAAAAGAAAATATTTCGAAGAAAAAATTTCTATAAAAGAATAATTTCTTAAAAATCTTTTTCTATTTTTTTTTAATTTCAGCTAATGGTGTCATTTCGACCGTGGTGCCAGATTCGCCGCACAAGATTTTCATTGGTGGCTTGCCTAACTATTTGAACGAAGAGCAGGTAATTTGGCTGATTGCTGCACATTGTTGATATATCCAGAATAATGTAATTGTAAAGTTTTTTTGCCACAGTTTATGAGACAGTGCGGCTACGGGCATACATGAGTTCTAAAGAAAGAGAATTTCCAAAATTTATTTAAATTTTTCCCCTGTAGCATTTTAGGCGTATCCAGTATACCAAATGCGGTTGCAGTCAAGCAGCGCGCTGCCTACGTGCCAATTTAGTTATCATTTGAATTCCTCTTTCAGCTTAAATTTCAGCGCAGAACTTCTGCAACGGTTTTGAATTTTCAGCACCAAATTTCACTTTTCAGCTCTTCTTACAGCTTCATTTTCAGCTCCAGTCTCGTCAACGCACTTAAATTAACTTTCAGCTAGAATGATCTGTTCTTAAACATATTTTGAGCTAAATTTAAAACAATTTTTTTTTGTTGTTGATTATATGTATATACATATCTACCTAGATTTGTTGTCAGAACTTGTATTAATTGTGTTTTTGATTGTTTGGTCATTTGTAGCTTAGGTTGCATCATACACCACAGCAACAAGAAAGAACTCGTAGAAGGTTCGCTTTCGATTTTATTGCAGTTGCATCGACCATGCCCACTGCACCCACCTACATAACAAAACAAAATATACATCTTTTCTCCTTGCGTGTGCATTAAGTTGCGAGTACAATATATGCGGTGTGAGAAACTTAAGTGAGTGCGTGTCGATGCAGTGAAATTGCAATGCGCATGCAAATGTCGGTGTAAAAGGCAAGTTTATAAAAATTGACAACAAAAATTCCATTTGCAAAAATCTCTACAGGAACTTTTCAGAATAACAAAATACTAAGTAAACTACAAATCAATGTCGACAATTTCGTTTAGCCAATCCCAATGTTATTTTGTTTTAGGTGGTGGTGGTGGAAGGACATGCACTCCCATTAAAGGGTGACTTATAATCGCTGTGGAATTGCAATTAGCTCTTTTATGACGATTAAAATAATGCAAAGTTCGAAGCTGTCAATACAATTTAGAACATTTTTTTTTTTTTTTATCATTTTGCTAATAACTCAACTGCATTAACCTCAAAAAATTAATCGCAAATGCTTTCTAAACCCCACTAGGTAAAAGAGCTGCTACTCTCATTTGGACAATTGCGCGCTTTCAATCTGGTGAAAGATGCCGCCACTGGTTTGAGCAAAGGCTATGCATTCTCTGAGTACGTCGATCACAGCATAACCGATCAGGTAAACGGGAAACTTAGGAAATATTCATTAAAAACCCGAAATTTAATTTCTTCTTATTAAATTCTTGCAGGCCATTGCCGGACTGAATGGCATGCAGCTGGGCGATAAAAAATTGATAGTACAACGCGCCAGTGTTGGTGCGAAGAATGCACAGAATAGCGCCACCACCGCTGCGCCGGTTATGATACAAGTGCCCGGCCTGTCGATGGTCGGCACCTCGGGTCCACCCACTGAAGTGTTGTGCTTGTTGAATATGGTTACGCCGGATGAGTTGCGCGATGAGGAAGAGTACGAAGATATTTTGGAGGATATCAAAGAGGAATGCAATAAGTATGGTGTTGTGCGTAGTGTGGAAATACCGCGACCCATTGAGGGTGTCGACGTGCCCGGTTGTGGTAAAGTGTTTGTCGAATTCAATTCCGTTATGGATTGTCAGAAGGCACAGCAAGCGTTGACCGGTCGCAAGTTCAGCGATCGTGTTGTGGTTACATCATACTTTGATCCGGATAAATATCATCGACGTGAATTTTAAGTCGCAATCGGTAAATGGCACGTACGCACCCCTTCAAATTCTTTAAATCTCAAATGTATGTCAATCATTTACACACATTTGCAAATATATATAGTCTTCATAATTGTGAGTGGATAACTGAATTTAGTTTATATTGCGTTAGCAAAGCATCATGCTTTCTTCAGCCAATAGCACGAAAAGTGTTGGCTCACATCCATTTTAATGTATTTTTGAAGAAAAACCACAGGTCAAATAGCAAGCAAAATATAAGTATATAATAATTGAATTTTATTTTCGCGATTTTCGGAATGGCGTTAATTAATAAAGACGATACTTTTGGTAAATATACTATTTCATATTTTTTCATTAGTGTACTTATCTGTGCAAATATTTGCAGACTACAATAATTTATAATTGAAAACTTCAGTGTAAAAATAAAATAAGATAAGCGGTAATGGATTTTATCAAGATTACAAATGCCGTTAGGGGGATAACCGCCTAAGGTAATTTTTTTCTATTATTTATTTGACTTATTGTTAAGTTAGTAGGACGGTATTTGCTGAAAATCGTTACCAATTGTTACCAAAGTGGTTCCTAATCAGGATTTAGATAAACGGCTATCCCTTCGATCTTTCTCGCTTTCTCGCTGCACGCAACCTAAGACCTTCTCCCACTAAATCCACAGCGACTATATTCACTAACTGGAGGAATGAGTACAGACTTGAACTTAATATTGCAGTCGATGGCGATAAAATTGCGTCTGTCAATAACCATAAGATGTTAGGTGTGAGACTCGACATTGCCAAAGTACAGAGTCCCAAAAAAATACTCAAGTCGCTAGTCGGAAGCAAATAGGGAAAAGACAAAGGAACGTTGTAGGCAAAATACTGATACGGTAGCAGGTTCAACTCCTACTTATCCAGAATCGAGCACGACTTATCAAATATATGTTCAGCGTGCAACGAGCCCCACATTACATTAACTACCCTTTTGCATGGCCAGCTAATCCAACACATTTGACATCCTCCTCCTATGGTCCGACCCCGGGATAACCTCGATGACAACTTATCTGAACCTTACCGTCCTAACGGGAACTAGATATTCGTTAGAACAACAACAGGATCTAGATAACCGCTATAACAAAAACCGGGAGTCATATCAAACATCAGGTATCCTTTCCCACAGTCTGTTCCACTTAATCAGTTGTACAAAAGCAGCTCCTAGTCCCTCGAGGGGGCTTCTGATTTTTAGTCATCAGTTTAAACCCAGATTTCATTTGATTTGGCAATGTAGACTTGTTTGAATCGGAAAATATTATAGAAAGAGTTGCTCATCAAATGCGGCATTGAAATGCTCCTTTTGATCCTTTGCGCTAGTCGGCAGTTGCTGGGAAATTGGCAAAGAAACGTTGTTGGCAACTTATACGAAAGTTCAGACCTGTCGTAGTACTGCACTCCGTACGGTTATAGGATGTCTCTTGAGGTTCTCTGTCGGGCACCCATATAGTGAGGTCTGCATGATTTTTGTTAAGCAATACAATGTACTGTTCTTCAAGCAGTTTCTGCTAGATTGTTTTCGTAAAAGTCACCCCTGCAGTGGTCTGTTTGAAGTGCACTTGCGTCCGAGGAATACTCTCAGACCTCGGACGCAATAAACTTTAAACACGCACTAACCGCCATTAACATCTACACCGAATTGAAATAGCAGACGAAGAGCTCGAGTTGTCCCGACAATCCGCTCTGGATACTAGAGCAGGTTAAACTGGTAGTTATTCAGAAACGATCCATAAATGTCATGCGTGCAATGTGTTTCATCTAACTCTTCTCTCCCTATGCTCCAGCCCCGCCGAAACAGCACTTTTCCTGGCTTTCCGCCATTCATTGACAATCAGCTTGAGTCTTACCACACAAATTATGACTTGATAACCATTACAACAACAAAATAATTTCTCTTAACCTTACAAAGCAAAGATCAAATTCTACAAGTCGCTCATCATTCCTGTCCTGCCGTACGGTGCAGCGGCATGGACGATGACAACATCTGATGACTCGGCGCTACGAGTTTTCGAGAGAAAGGTTCTGCGAAAGATGTATGGTCCTTTGCACGTTGGCAACGACTTATTCCGCACTCGACGGAACGATGAGCTGTATGAGATATATGACGACATTGACATAGCTCAGYGAATTAAGAGACAGCGGCTACACTGTCTAGGTCATGTTATCCGAATGGACGAAAACACTCCAGCTCTGGAAGTATTCGACATAGTACCCGACGGGAGGAGGACCTCCACTAATTTGGAAAGTCCAGGTGGAGAAGGACGGGGCTATACTTGGAATCTCAAATTGGCGCCAAACAGCGAAAATAAGGAAAGACTAGCGCGCTGTTGTAAGCGTATGTAACCACACTTTGGTTAAATCACTTATTAAAAATTGTGGCTAATAAATTTCTAATGTGTAACTAACCACTTCAGTTCATTAAAGCGTTAAATAAGCACACTAGCTACTTGTCCATGGCCAGCGCAAATTGCCCATTGTTCGTGGTTTATCACGCCAGCGGATGTTGCGTATACGACCCGTGTAACCCGGTGCTTTATTGTTTCCATACATTGGGCAACTGAGCAGTAATTTGCTTAATAATTTCATTTATTTGAATGCATTGTGGTTGTCACTAACTTTTAACTGATTAAAACAAAGGTGTGACTGCTGTCGGAAAACCAAAAAAGAAAAAGGAAAAGTTCATACTAAAACTAAAACTGTAAATATACATTTATAATGAGTTGATCGCAGTGCAGATAAGATGCTCTTCGTTAATGCTCGTTGGCTACGCACTAGTTCACTCAATTTCTCAAAACTGAAACGAGCATGAGCAGCAACAACAAAGTGAACATAATAAAACAATTCTAATATGCTAGACCTTTGCTTAAGTCTGCAAACAAATAAAATGGCTCTATTTGTAATACTGTTTAGTGCATTGTACAGGGTGTTTAATATAGTTGTTTGCTTAAAAAAGTGTTTGAGAGATATTATTGGTACAACGTCTACCCATAGGGAAGGAAACCATCTTCTCACATGAGACGCATTTCTAGCTTTACCGCTACACCAAAAAGCAAAATTGTCGCCATTGGCGGTGAGTCAAGACCATGTGCGGTTCAGGAAGTAAAGTCTTCTCTTTAAAAAAAAATTTACCGCTTCGTGTAGATTGTTGGCGTCATCGGTCCTTATTTCTTTCGAAATGATTCAGGAAATGCATCATCATCACTAGTGAGCGTTAGAACACGATGTTGACTGACTTTTTTCCGGGAATTCGATTATGTCGACGGTGACTATTCCAGCAAGACGGTACGATGCTTCATACTTCACTTCACATAGTGGTTGTAACAGCACTTCCTAGACTAATTCGATCACTTTGATCACGCCGACGGCGAAAGTATGAAACGGTACATTTTGATGTCAGAAGAGTGCTTTTCTCTTTGTTAAATGTGTCGGTTTTTATATAATTCACCATAACAGATCTCTGTTACCGCTTTATTCTTCTACAAGTACCTGAGCGTATGCGGGCGTAATCCATCTAAATCTCAGAAAAAAGATGGCATCACTTTTCCGGCCGATAAGTCAGTTTTCAACTTCTTGGACGGGTTCGTTCGTGAATTCCACTGTTTCGCCTTTTCGTCGAGGGTTCGATTCGTCGGCGGTCAAGTACTTAAGTCCGTATGTTTGGCCTTAAACAGAGTAGAATAGGAACGTTTTCCACAGTGGTGCCGCTTGCAAGACACCTGGGCTTAGCATATCAAAAACCAACCAAGCGTCCACAATAGCATTCGCCACGTAAGCAGTTCCAGAATTGAGCTATAATGAGAATAAGCTCTCTTTGAGATCCCTTCCAAAAAACCTTCCAACCTTTTTTTATATCTCTGACAATCGCAGACATGCCCACTTCCACACAAACGAGTCCGATTAGGTTAACGACCGCTCGCATAGATACACATTCTTCCCAGCCCTAGATCGCACAGTTTAACGAACCACCCTTTATATATACACATAGCTATCTCTAAACATTTGGATGCAGAAGCGCAAATTTTGTTCATTTGCAACATTTGCATTTATTACACACTTCCACCGAAGTCCGACAGGCAGCCGGTTGTGAATTTGCTGCTTGCATTTATTATGCATTGTTGTTGTCCATTCGTGTGTGGTATTTATGTAGCGCCATACATATGAATGAGCATGTGCATGGGTATGTTTGGGATGTGTATGATAATTGTGCAACATTTTCGCAACATTGTCACCACAATTGTTGGCATTTACATTTGTACCACCGCGCCTGCACACCACTCCGCCATTTATTTCGTAATTTTCATTGAGCAAACGCAGTCAGTTTTAAAATTACTCATTTTAGGCGATTGCTGAATAGGAAATGAACGGGTGGCCTATGCAAGAACAATTGAAATAGAAATTACCACAGTTTCGCTTCCTTAGTTCTTTCAGAGTGCGTTTACCAAATATAGTATATGATTTATTCGTCGTTATCCCGATATATTTTCTTCTTCTTTATTGGCGTATACGCCGCTTACGCGGTTGTAGTCGAGTTTACAACAGCGTGGCAGTCATTCTTCCTTTTCACTGTTTGGCGCCAACTGGAGTTTCCAAGTGTAGCCAAGTCCTTCTGCACCTGGTCTTTCCAGAAGATCTTACTGTTCCTCTGTTTCCTCCGAATATTCTGGAGCTGGAGCTAGAAAGCTGGAGTCTTTTCATCCATTCCGACGTCATGATCAATTCCGGTTAGCCGCTGTCTCTTAATTCGCTGAATTACTTATCTCAATATCGTCATATATCTCGTATAGCTCATCGTTCCATAGACTGTGGAACAGGCCGTTGCCAAAGGACAAATCTTCCGCAGGACCTTTCTATCGAAAACTCGTAACGCCGACTTATCAGATGTTGTCATGTCCCATGCACCATATATAGCGAGACGAGTGATATGTGGAATTTGGTGTTTGTTCGTCGAGAGAAGACTTTACTTCCTCAGTGCCTACTCAGTCCGAAGTAGCACTTGTTGGCTAGAGTTATTCTGTTATTAAAGAAGTCCTACGATTGGGTTTGAAACCTTGATTGAAACAACGTTTGGTATCGAACGGCTCGGAGAGGTCCTTTCCGATCCTGGCGCGTGGTCAGTTGTTGATTTTCCAGGCCTGAAGCCACACTGGTAAGGTCCAGTCGGTTTTTTGGTGGGCTTTAATCTTTCACGCAATACGCTCAATAGAACCTTATATGCGATATTGATTAGGATGGAATACGCCAGTGGTATAATATTTCTTTAGCCTACAAAAAAATACCATAATCGCTTTGTTC